TTAAAAAAGTTTTAGCAAGTAATGAAAACACCTGAATTGGACAATAAATATTTACGAATAATTAAAAATCATTACTTTCATCAAGTGGCAAGAATAAAAGTTGAGCAAGAACTGTCTGATGAAATAAATATAAAGAGATAAGTGAGACAAGGCTCTCTACTATTGCCTTTACACTCTCTCTTGTATTCAGAAGAAATATTTGAGGAAGCCCTAATGGAGACAACAATAGGTATTATTGTTAGTAATCGTAAATAATATTAGATATGCACACGATACCTTAGAGCTGTCTAATTGCGGAGAAGACATTCAAAATCTAATGAACAAAATAAAACAAACATGTGATCAGTATAGACTAAAACTCAACGTTAAGAAAACAAAATATATGATAGTTAGCAAACAAAACTCTATACAGGATGACGGTAGAGAAACTCGTGTATCTTGGCAGTAATATTAATGTCAGCTGGGATCCATCCGTAGAAATTACAAGCCACATAGAACAAGCTCGAGCAACTTTTGTAAAAATGCGGAACGTCACTTTGTATGACGATCAATTGAATAGAGCAAACAGAGCCGCAGGCTGCCAAAATAAAACAATATGGAGAAATCAAAATATCAGGAAAGAAACGAAAGGCAAAATTTACATAAGGATCATCAGACCAATAATGACATATGCAACAGAAACAAGACCTGATACAGAGAGAAGGAAAAGGGTGTTAGAAACAGCAGAGATAAAAACACTTAGAAAAACTAATGGTAAAACACTATGGGACAGAGCTAGAAGTACAGATATACGACGTAGATGCAAATTGGAGAATATTAAGAATAGAAGAGTAGAATGGAACGACAAATGACAACAAATAAAGTAGTAACGACGGCAAAAGGCAGTTCCCCAATAGGAAGAGATCAATAGAAAAACCAGGAAAACGATGAAACCACAACTTACTGAAGGCACATTGAAAAACAGACAGAGTTCTGTCTATATAAAGAGAAGAAGAAAAAGACGTTAGAATGAGATATTGCTATTTTTTTTCCAGTGCTACTAAATTGAGTAAAGTAAGGCTAGGCTTGAACGCTTAGTAGCCTTTAGGATGTGATTATATATATATATATATATATATATATATATATATATATATATATATTATATATATATTAAACTGTATCAACAGAACAATCAGAACGTCAGAAATGAGGAGATTCTTAGACGCCTGAACCAAACAACACAACTGGTCAATATAATAAAGAGACGCAAGCTTAAATACTTCGGTCACACTATGAAACATTATGAAATATATGAAAACTTTTACATATGATAATTCGGGGAAAGATCCAAGGTAAAAGTGGTCCTGGTAGAAGAAGAACATGATGGCTCAAAAATCGTATATAGTAGTGGTATGGAAAATCGACTATATCGTTATTTAGAGCTGCTGTTAATAAAGTCACGATAGCAATATGGTAACTAACATGAGATTCACCGATCTATAACGGTCATGGAACGCGAAGAAGAAGAAAAGAATTAGGATTTGAACACAAAACAGAGAATCATGAACAGCATTGATTGGGTGCACCCGTATTGCTGCTTTAAGGGCCAAGTTTCTTCGTATATATATGGAAAATCTTGGGAGTATGCATCTCTTCGATCAAAAGAGAGGAAATCTCTTCAATCTTAAATCCATCAGTCTCCCCGAAAATAGTAAAAGGAAAGTCACTAAATAATTTTGATAACCCTAGGTAACACTGAATAAAAAAATAATAAAGATGATAGCCAAGGTTCCGAGATGGATTTCTATTCATTTTTTAGATTACTATTTTATACCATCTTTTTGCTTGTCTGCAATGAAATCCCTTTATTGTATAATTACTACGATAAAAATATGGATTTGCTTTAGATGTTATTGAATAACGTGTAATTTTACAAAAATTGGCAAATCACTTTCATAGATGTATATAATCCGACAAGCGAGAGCTGGCGGGTGAGCTGCGCGAAAATAGAAAAGGAATTATTCTAAGAGAGATAGGAGAGGTACTTAATTGCGATTATAGGTATATAGTATAGGTACTTAAACGGTTATACACGATGTGAACTCCTAGCCGACTGCAATAGAAATGAGCAATCCCTTCTACTTTTCAATTTGTTCCAAGCGCAACCCGCCAGCTCTCGCTTGTCGGGTTATACCCAGTTTTAAAATTCAATAAATAACAACTGTTATCGTAATATCAGCCATTTTATAATTTTTATTACCGACCTAAGTTGGGCTTTTTGTAATCAACGAGCTCTGACTGTAAAAAAATTAGTAGTGATAAAGTGATTTCCAACATTAACAAAAATAAACATATTTTTGTAAATCTTATATTATATGTATATGTCGTACTTAAAATTTAATTTAAGAAATAAGGATCTTTTTTATTTTAATATAAAATATGATTTAAGTAGATGTCTGCAAATGATTAGAAAATCAATTGCTATTTAACTGGGAATAAGCCACAATTAAAGATAAAAATACGTTTATTGACGTTTCAATTTCCACTTCAGAAATCGTTCTCAAAATACAAACAGTAAATTAAACAAATTTTGTTTTTTGTTACATAGTGAAAATTCTTTTAATAATTTAATTTTATCTGACTCATTTATATTGACAATTCAGACATACATTATGCATTTTAAATTAGATGACTTTAAAATGATATTGCCAATATTCTTGAGTTGCGCTCCTGGGACGACTTTACTTATAAGATAGTTCATTCGATTACATGAAATCAACTTTAACTTGAGAATATCCGTCAGAAAAAAAATCATAGCACATAATTCGTCTTTAAAAAGACAAACACATGACATGATGACAGTAAAATTCTCCTGTTAGTGATTCCATAGTAAATTATGAGGGAAAAACCAGGAAAAAAACCTCATAATACTATCTCGACATGGTAAGTATTTGTTCGTGCATTTAGTTTACCTTCAATAAACATCAAAATTCTGATTTTATATGTTTCGTTATTTAAAAAAGATAAATGATGTATCCTCTATATGTTACTTACTAATACTGGTATTTTCTTATTAACAACTTCCTCTTTCAATATTGGTAACCAGATCCTACTACATTCTGCCGAGGAATTTGCGACACAATTGGCCTCATTTAGCATAATTAAAGCCGCTTCTTTGATTTTTCTTTTTTTACCATTCGTCTCTTTTAGGACTAGATTTAAATTATTCCATTGAACCCTATGTTTATTATCCCATGCGTGTTTACATATTTGAGATCTATCAAATTCTCTATTTTGAATATAAGAGTGATGTTCACTTATTCTAACGTTTAATGGCCTTGGTGTTTCACCTAAATAAAACTGATCGCATTCATAAGGTATTTTATAAATGCAATTCTTTGTCCTTTCGTGTTCATCGTTAGGTTTGGTTTTGGACAAAATAGATCTCAACGTGTTTGTTGTTTTGAATGTTGTTGAAATGTTGAATTTATTGCCTATCCTTTTAAGTTTTTCTGATAATCCTTTTATGTTCGGTATTGTTATTTTCCTCGTATTATTCCTTGTGTATGCTGTAGGATTCTCGTTCCAAGTTGTTCTGTTCTATTCGATCGATTGTTGAAAATTCCTTATTTATAAACGATAAAGGATAATCATTTTTTAATAAAACAGATTTTAACAAATGTTTCTCCTCCAAGAACGAATTTTTGTTAGAAAAAGTAGAAAATCCTTAAACTATTTATCGTGGTCTGAATCTTTCGCAGGTTAGGAAAAACTTCATGGTCGGAGTATATTACCCACGAAGATGCATTAAGAAGAGGTATCCGTATGGATATTCTTATAATTTTGATAATATTACTGCAAAATATAGAGATCATTATCACGCATGATCAGAATCTCATTTTTCGAAAATTAGTACAAATTTCACCATTTAATCATTGAGTAAAAGGTTAATATTACTTGTTGATGGCCAAAAAGGTCTGATGGATTCGTGCATCTTCTGTGATATGAAGATTTTTATCAGCCAGTATGTGCTTTTTTTTGGAAAATTTCTTTGAAACGTAAAACATTTGATCAATGTGTGCTGCCTGTGATGACCTATGGTGCCGAAACTTTGACATTGACAGCTACAAGTTCTAGGACGCTGCAAGTAGCTCAGAGGAAAATGGAAAGATCAATGCTGAGTAGGTATATCGCTTCGTGACCGAGTTAGAAATGAAGACATAAGACGAAGAACAGGAGTTACCGATGTAATTTCCCGAATTGCCACACTGAAATGGAACTGGGCTGGACACGTCGCCCGAACCAGTGATGAAAGGTGGACGAAGAGATTGCTTGAGTGGAGGCCGAGATTAGACAAAAGAAGTAGAGGAAGACCCCCTACACAATGGACTGACGATCTCAAAAATATGTCAAGAAATTGGATAAAAAGTGCCCAAAACAGAGCACAATGGACAAAAATGAGGGAGGCCTATGTCCAGCAGTGGACGCAAAGGGCTGGGTGATAATGATGATGTACTTTTTATGAAAATTCATAATGCATCTTGAAATTATCGTTCTCATCATTAAACGGTAGAATTACAAAAAAAATTGGGATTTTCGCAGTTTTTCCTAAAAACATTGACAATACTGCTAACGAAGCCAATAGCGAATATTTATCATTTGGGGATATTTTGTAATAATCATTGCTGATTCTTTGTCAATACTTTTTAAAAAAAAAGTTTTTAAAATTTTTAAGTTTGGTAGTCCAATAGCAAAAATGCAGTTTAACGAATGTTATCAACAAAAGAACAGAAATTGAAATTATCACATTTTTACCGGGACTTTTAGTCTTGAACACATCGTTCACAATATTATTTCATATTAGTTTGGTAACGCTCTGTATATAAAAGCAAATTATTGTCGATTTAACGCCATATCTTTCAAATTACCGAAACTACTTTTCGACCAAAGGCAACACTGGCCCATTCGATTACTCGACCTGTAGGTAAAGAGCTAATGGGTTTTGTAGTAGGAGAGCACGCAACATTTCCATATACCGCTGGAGGTTATTGGAACACCGTGATTCAGTAGAGAGTGAATGTGTTTGTTGCATGTTACTTTCTTAATTGTCACTATCGTTGCGCTAATAATTACGAAACAACAAAACTGAATTTTATCAGGTGCTAAATTGGTGTACTAAGTACTTTTAAACTACTTAAGTAGTTCCAGTTTTTGTGTCGGTATCAGCGTTACTTGGGAATAACAAAAAGGTAATGTATGGAAAGTTTCTGTTATGGGTAACTAGGTCGACTGGTTGCTATTATTTATGTAGGAAATTTTGCTGTTAAACATAAAAAATGATATGTGTTGTATTACACAAACTTTTATGAAATGATTTTATACAGTTTTTAATCAATAATGATCTTCCCGCCAAAAATATAATACAAACAAGTATTATATGTAATAAGAACTAAGCTAGATTTTTTATTATAAGTAAAAAGAGTATTTATATGTCGAATTTTTTATTAGTCACTGAGCAAATTTAGTCTATATTAAATTACTAATATTAGTTAAAATCAAGAGCTTAACGTATGGTGTTTTCCTAATCTAATCTAATAAATAACTCACTAATGTTAACGTGCACTACACGCAACAAGCACTATGTTCTACTTTTTATCGTCTCTTAAACTAATTCAAAGGGCTGTGTCCTGTTTTATGGCCTTTTAATTAGTCCTGTGTTGTCAAGATTGCTTCAAAATTCACATACCTATAGTCACTTTCCACGACTTTCTGCAATCTTCTTGATAATTGCAGCCGAAATATACATAAACTGGTCGTTAAAGAGGTCTCTGTCCTTTACATACCAAGAAGCATTCACAACGTTTCATATTATTCTGAAATTTCTGGATTATTTTTGGTTAAGTCATCGATTCGACCGTTGTTTGATAAAAATTAATTGTATACAACAATAAGACACTCAAAACTATTATTTTCGATACTTTCCAACACAAAATAAATTTTGTAGAAACGTTGAAACAAAAGTTTTCAGTGTTTTATTGTTATTTCTGAATGTCTTATTTCTATATTCCTTTTGTTTGCTCACCACCAGAGTTGGCTACCATAAGTTCAAATGGGCCGTAGTTTTTGTTCAAGAAGTAAAGGTTGTGTTTATTACAGTATGGAACCCACTTATAGAATAAAATTGTTTGTATCCTTATTGTAGAAAATAATAAAGAACTATGGGATACGTTAACTTTTAAATTTGAGTGAGCACTTTTAAAATATACATTTAAATGTACACGGTGATCCACGCAAGTCTGGCATAGTCCATAATCCTTATTTTTAATGAAACAGCCTGTATATTTTTATGTTTATAAAAGATTCTTAATAATCTGATTTTAAGGAACTATATCATGTAGGGTCTAAAATGAATAATACAAGGTGAAATTTTGAAATTAATAATTTATCACTTGTTATGGTATTATTTTAAATTAGCTAAATACAGACAATACACTTCTACTTTAAGTGTCAGTGTATTGGGGAAAATTTCTGTTTAGTAACCGTGTTAACATTTTTTGTCATGAAGAGGTAAAAATTGTCCAGATAGTCTGCTTATTAAACTAAATCGGTAAATAATGCGGATGTTTATCAATCAGTTGTTGGTGTGTTTATGTAATGACATTTTACATTAAAATAATAAATTCCCAATTAAAAACTAATTTTTTGCAGAAATAAAAATGAAATATTTAAGCGAGACCCACTGAATTAAGATTTTAATGATCATCGGTTACGGGGAGAATTGTTGAAGTTAAGTTGAAGTAGAAAACTTATTTAATTAGGGGTGTCCTAAGTTGCCTAATATTTTACAAGCCACTGTGTCTAAAAGTTTGCATAATTCACAGAGAAACAGAGAATCAAATGTCAAGTTCACGTCAAATTGCACGTCAAAATAATGTGAGTCACACAACTGTCCTACGGTATCTCCATGAAGAAAAACTTCATCCATATAAATTGACTTTTGTGCAGGAGCCAACAGAAGACGATCCAGATCGTAGAATGGATTTGTGCGAAAGAATGATGGATAAAATTAAAACAAATGGAATGGCACAATTCTTTTTTATAAGGAATCAACATCTAGATTGAATGTTAGAGGTAAAAAAACAAAACTATAGATATTGGTCAGCGGAGAATCCTTGTTGGATGCGTGAGACACATACTCAGTATGCTCAAAAGTTGAATGTTTTGGGCAGGTATTATACGAGATCATATTATTGGTCCTGTATTAGTAGATAAGAATTTGACAGCGAAAAAATATTTAAGCATGCTAAGAGACGATGTTCTTCCTCAGTTGGCTAATTTATATCTCCCAAATCGAGTCTGTCGAATCAATAGATCCGACTGTCTGGTTCCAGCAGTACGGTGCAACACTCCATTATGTGTGGGTTTATCTCAAGAACAAAGTATATGCAATACAACCAACTAGCCTCGAATACCTCAAAGAAGGGATAACTACAGAAATACAGAATATTTCACCTTAAACTAAAAAAAAGTTCGCTACAAGTTTTATAGGAGACTGTGTTATTGCCAACAACAAGGTGGGGAACATTTTAAGTTTAAGCATGTATTTTAATGTAATCCAATCAATTACCTCGGGTATTCTATGAATTAATTGGCTTGAAGAAAATTATACTTAATTTTAAAATTTCACCTTGTATTATTCATAATAGACGCATTATGATATAGTTTATTGAGATCAGGTTGCTAAGGAGCTTTTAAAAAATAAAAATACACAGGGTATTTCATTTAAAATACAGATTATGGACTATGCCAGACTTGCATGAATCACCCTGTACATTCAAATTTATGTTTAAAAATCGCACATTTAAATTTAAAGGTTAAGGTATCTCAACGTTTTTTATTATTTTCGAAAATAGGAACACAAACAATTTTATTGATTGTTCATAGATTTTGATATTTTGATATTTTATTGATGTTCATAGATTTTAAACAAGCATTTGATAGAGTATGTAGGGACAGGACTGTGGACAGCGATGCAGGAACTTGGCTTTCCAAAAAAACTAGTCCGGTTGATGCGGATGTGTATGGAACGGTTACGATGTAAGGTGAGAGTTGGACAACCATACTCGGAGACATTTGAAATAAACAATGGACTAAAACAGGGAGATACACTTTCACTACAACTCTTCAACTTAGCTCTGGAGCACATAATCAGAAGTGCAAGAATCGAAAAACCGAATACAGTATTTCATCGAGAAGGACCAAACTTACTACTGGCATTTGCAGACGATATAGATCTAATAGGAAACACGCGATTAAGGATGAAGGAGACTTTCGTAAGGTTTGAGAAGAAAGCAGAGAAGATGAGGCTCCATATCAATAAAAACAAGACGAAATATATGTATATGAGCCGCAATAACCAAATCAGAGACAGAATCGGTCAGAACATTACCATCGATGACTTTAACTTTGAGCGCGTTAGAGAATTCAAGTATCTTGGAACAACAATAACTGAAGACAATAACGGATCACAAGAAATAGACAACAGGATTCAGGCCGGCAACAGATGTATCTTTGCCCTCCAAAACCATATAAAATCAAAATAACTAACACGACGTACGAAGATACAGGTCTATAAAAAAATCATACGACCCGTTGTGATGTATGGAAGCGAAAGGTGGACGATAACAAAGGCAAATGAAGAGAGACTACGTGTTTGGGAAAGAAAAATCCTAAGGAAGATCTTTGGTCCGGTGCTTGATGAAGCATCAGGACAATATAGGATAAGAACTAATAAAAAGCTTGAAGAACTTTACCCAGACGCCAATATCATAAAAGAAATAAAGTCCAGAAGACTCCAATGGGCAGGACACCTCAGAAGACATTCTGACGAACGAACAGTAAGACTGGTGTGGGAGGAAGTCCCAACTGGAAGGAGACCACTTGGACGCCCTCGTCTCCGGTGGCGAAATAATGTAGTAGAAGACCTAAGCACTATGGGCGTGGAGAATTGGATGGAGGTTGCTCAAGACAGAAAACAGTGGAGGCATGTTGTCGAGTCGTCTAAAACCCACGAAGGGTTGTTACGCCACGGAGTAAGTAAGTAAGTAAACAATTTTATTCCATAAGTGGTTTCCACACAGTATAAAGGTTTATTTTTTATAGATACGAGTTTCTTCCAAGCATCTCTTATATTTTTTTTGTATCTTATGTCAAGTTCTTCCTTTTTTTCTATATTAATATTGCCGTCGTAGTTGTGCATCTAATGGTATACCTAGGTATTTTTCCTTATTTCCGCATAGTGTTTGGTTATTATTAATTTTAACTGGTATATTTTTGTGTCTTTTTTTTTTATTGGTAAAGCTGCAGTGAATAGATTATTTTATTTCGTTTAGTCTAATTTTCCGTTTTTTAGTCCAAGAATGTATTTTATAATTGCTTTTTGTAGTTTGTTAAATTGCTTTTTTAATGAAGTGGCAATAAAGTTATGCTCTAATACAGGTATGTCGCACATGTATAGCAAATAAAGGACCAGGCGCAACATGCTACCTTGCGGAACTCCTACTCTAGTTGTTATTATGTCTAAGAGATATTTTCCTGTTTAATTTTAAAGTGTGTTTGAGAGAGAGGCGTAACTATAATTTGGCGTGGCAGAAGTATTCGAAGAGTCTCCTTTCCCCAATACTTTTATAAAAATATAAATATTTTTATAAAAATTTTAAATAGAATTTTCACTTTTTTTTCATAAAATATGTGATGAACACTATTTGATAGGTATAAATGATATTGTATATTACTGTATTTGTAATTCTTTTCGCTCTTAATTTTTTGAAAAATCATTGAGTTACTTATTTGGCATGAAAACAGTTATTATGTTCAGGAGATAATACCATGGTCAGTTGACAGACATGAATTAAATAATCTGGAGATAACACGGTAAATAAATCCAAATTTAGTCAAGAACACTTCTTTGTATTTACTTAAATGAAATATATATATATATTTATATATATATATATATATTATATATATATATATATATATATATATATATTATATATAACAAAATGATATAAACAGAACTAACGCAAAATAAAACTCAAAGAATATGTTGTTCACTTAAAATCATTTTTCACTTCATCGGAGTGGGACAAATTTTGATAATAATTGAATCGGTGATTATTAAAAGGAACTAACTCCAAAAATGTACAATTTTGACTTTTACATGTGAAGCGGTATTTTTCGGTATTGC